ATTCATGCTTTCTCCGATGCACACACACACAAATATTTTCGCCAGGACACTTGTCACCGGAACATTTTCACCAGGACATTTTCTCAGTTTTGTGCTTTTGCAGCTACCCTTTGGCATTTTCGCTGACAGAAGAGGAGAGGAAGAAAAAAAGCAAGTATTTTCAGGATCTGAGCAGGATCTCTCACTCAATCGATTATGCATCAATGTCTCGTCTTGCCTCGCCTTGCCATTAAATTCAATTTGCAATAAAATGGAGAGTGGCCAAAGAGAGGCAAAACTTGGCCAAGAAGTAGTGAAAACTTTTGAGTAAAAACAATTGCATTATTGGCCACAAGAATGTGCGTCATTTGACCAGAATGGGGAAAGGGTGAGAGGAGGTCACCGAGGCGGCCTGATAAATGACCATCAAGTGTTGGTGGTCTCGAAATAAACCCGGAGATGGAGATGAAACTGGGGGAGTTCAGCTGCAAAAATGCACTGCAGCTGCCACAAACACACACCACACACGGCGTATGCGCAATGTGAGAAGGCGAAGAAAAAACACCACAAACACACACACCAACACTCACACCAATATACACCAATACACACCAACACACACTCCTTCACTGCCTCTACACCACCACAATTGCAATATTTGGCAGCAAATTTTATAGCCCCAACTCGGCTTGGCACAAAATATCGAGTTCATTTATCAAGCCCCAGCAAAATGTCCTGTGCGGTCCTGCGGTCTGTTTTCTTCTGCAAAAAGCAAATTGCCAAATGAAACTGCAAAAAGAAAAAAACATAAACAAAAACAAGAAAGGAAACCAAGTTGGGAAGCCGAAATATATATACCCTTGCAGTTTGCCATTGAATTATAGGTTGGAAAATGAAATCGATCTTGAGAAAGCTTCAAATATTTATCAATATTTTTCTATGACAATTTTTTAATGCAATCAAAATATAAAAAACGCATAGCTAAGCCAAAAATGGATTAATTTTGATTCAGAAAGCATTCCTATTTTAGTTTTTAGCCGGTTAACAAAGCTGCATACTTCATTTAAAATGTGAATTTTTGGCCAATTTTTGATAATTTTCATCATGTAACCCCTTATAAAATTTTCAAAATTAAAAAAAAAAATCAATTTTTGCAGGAGATAGCTAGAATGATTCCCCTGTTGATGCTGATCAAGAATATATATGATTTAGGGGGTCGGAAATGACTCCTTCACCAAGTTTCAGGCTTCTGACTAACATTATAATACCCTGCAAGTGTTAAATAATACCCTTGAAAATTGCCATAAAAATGGCAAATCTGGCAGAATTTTCTGCCGTATTTGCCCTGCACTTTTGCCTCAATTACTTTGATTGCTAATCAACTGCGAATTGCAATGTGTTTGCAGGAAATACAAACAGCAAAGAAAAACTAAAATAAATTAAAGAAAGCATAAAAAGAGGAAACTATCAATATGCGTCTCTGTCACTTTTCAATCAATCATTTTCCCTTCGAGTGTGTGAAATATATAATTGACAGCTAATATTTCGCATCTGCGACTGTTGGCAACGGAAAAAGGGAAAATAATAAAAGGGAAAGCCCCCCAGTGACACATTTTCGAATGCATCAAAGTTGCATCCAGCTTGAAAGGGAGAAGAGATGTATAAGGATAAGTCTCTACGGGCAGAACTCATCGATCAACCTGTCATTAAGTGCAAATTCTTTTGAATTCTATTTATTTTTTAGAAAAATAAAACTAGAAAGTCTCCTGTAGTTCCTCTCCTTTTATAGACATTTATCAACCGAAACCCAGTTTTCTTTTGGGGCTTCGGCTTTGGCTTGCTTTTGCCTGATGATTATTTTCCTGCTGACCAGCGACAAAGCCAAGTCCTGGTCAAAGGACATTCCATGATGGGCCTCCTCCATTCATAGCATTTCTAATTTCAACGGTCCGAGCGGCCAGAGCGAGTCCTTCCATGGATCGTCCATTTTTTGGCCAAGATTTCATTGTAATGAGAGAGAGTTGACTTTTCCAGAACTAAGTCCTAGTTGGAGGGGTGGGGGTGGCAGGATAAAATAGGCAAGGACGAAGGGTGAAATCTCACTCTCTCTCTCTCTTTATATTCGCTATTCGCTTTCCGCCCACATCACAAGCGGTGCCACTCTTCGAAATTTGATTAAAACGCTTTCCTTTGAAGTGCACCCACACAGGATACTCCTTGGATCCTGCTAGCTACAGATACAGATACACAGCACACACACACACACACACAGACGGCGACACAAAGTAGTGACTGTGGTGGGCAGTGGCACCACGCCCCCCAAATGGCCGCCCACATGTGCTGCAAGCCAAACACTTTTGCGGGCCCACCGGTTATAATTAATTTACTGCCACTTACAATTTTTAATTAAGCCGCCGTCGCGTTTCTGATATGTTGTATATATATACACACACGTATGGACTATGTGCACTGACAGAAAAAATACTAACAAAAGCGGATAGTGAAATTATATAAATAGGTGATAAAGGAAGAAGGGTATTTTATAGATTTTTGTTAGTGTTTTTAAAAGATTAAGAGGTAATAATAACTGCTCAAGTTCTACTCCAACAATAAGTACTCTATAACTTTACTTTTCACCAATATTTAACAACAACATTGTGCTTTGAATGGTTTATTTACCAAAGTTGATATTAGCATTTAATAAACCGTTTCTCATAATTTTCTATAACAAAATTTAAGAACAGCATTGCCTTAGCTCTTTATTTGATTATTTTAATTCGATTACAACAACATTTCAGTCCCAAATTTTACACCAACGTTGCTTATCAACATTTTAAGAAGTTCCCATATTAAATAGCCTTGAAAACAGAGCTTCCCATTAATTTCTAGCAGTGCATTTTCCTTTTATTACTCATTCGCCTTCCTATATTTGCACACACTTCTCGCTCGGAGAAAGTCATCATAGGAGGGAGAGAAAGGAGAAAGTACCAAGAAGAAGAAGAATCTGCTGAGAGCGAAGGGGTAATGAAAGGTTGCCTCGTTATTAACTGACAGATTGATTTACAATAGGGTTTCACCTACCTTCCGGCTTCTGCTGCCAACAATTACACACGATTACGGAGAAAAAAATAGTAGAAAAAAATAAAAGAATAGTGATTGATTGATTGATTGAGCTGGTAGAAAGTAATTGGAGATTTGAGACTGATCTTTTAAATTGCAAAATCCACACAGAGTCTCTATTGAAAATGAATTGCTTGTAAATTAGATAAAACAAAACAATAGGAATGAATATATATATATATATATTTATAATATAATATATAGCAATTCATTTATATTTTCTGTCTAATAAGCAAATGGAAAAAGGCAACTCTAAAATGTTTCCAGAGTCAGCGCCTCCCATACAGCTTTTGAATATTTAAAAAGGATATTATTTCGATACAACTACTCCTAGCTAGCCCTTTCGGGTATACCATAGAAAAGCGAGTAAAATAAGAGAAATGAAAAGGAGAAACTGGAAAGCAGGACTTCATTAGTTTGGCCAAAAAAAAAAACAGGAAAAACCATAAAGGCTAGTTCATTTCCCGCTTTTGCTCTCTCTCTCTCTCTCAAGGGTGGCGGCCGCAATCATAAAATGTTTTGATTCATTTGCAAGCTAAATTGAGGCAAAAACATTTCAACTTTTCCTGGATTCTCCACCACTCCTGGGCACACCTGGAGTCCCCCGAGGGCTACACAGGATAAACGGAAAGGGAGAGAGAGGCAGGCCAGCTTCCGCCGGGGTCCAGGTGCAAAATTGGTAATGGTGAACTATCCACAGGTAGACACGGAGCACAGGTTGTGCTCCTCTCCTTCCTTTTTTTGGGGCTTCATTTTCAGCCAACGATTGAAAATTTAATTTCCCGCCTATGGGCAAAATACAAAAAAAAATAGATATATATATATACAGCAATAGGGAAAGAGAGATTGAGAAAAGGAAAAGCAGGCCAACATATTTCCGTGGCAAGTGAATTTTGAACTCGAAAGCGGAATCGGGAATCCGGAATCCGGAATCCGGAATCCGGAATCGGACTCGAATTTGAATGGAAAAGAGACTATGGTCCTTGCTGTACGCTTGATTTTTTGCAATAATCCCAAATTGCCAACGCTTGAAATCGTCAGACTGTACTTCCGGTGTCAACTGGCTTTATTTATTGCACAAAAACTACTCGATAACAAAGAGAGAAAGTATGGAGAGAAAGCATATTTCTGTATTAGTTATATATAAATTCAGGCCTTGAATTAACGATCAAAGTTTAATTTTAAAAACTATAAATATAAAACTCTAAAAAGAGAAAGAAAGTAGATAGAAAGAAAGCATATTCCTATAAAAATTATATATATTTTTAGGCCTTGAATTTAACATAAAAGAAACATAAGAAATATAGATACAAAACTGTAGTAAATATAATATAATCTTTGCCAGATTATGGGTTAGTTTATATTTGTATTTTGTATTATTAAATGATTAATCAAACTACTACAAAAACTATCGATAACAAAAAGAGAAAAAAATTAGAAAAAGATTTCTACAATAATTATTATTCGTGTAGGCCTTGAATTAATCGTCAAACATTAGCTTTCAAAACTTGAAATACAAAACTCAAGCAAATATAAAATAATCACTGCTAGATTATGGGTTCGTTTATATTGTATTATTAAATTATTAATCATAGATTCTTAATGTAATCACTGTCAGACTATGGGTAAGTTTATATTTATTTAGTAATATTAATATTATTATATACTACTGCTAAAGCTATCGATAACAAAAAGAAAAAACTAGTATCGTGCAAGAATGTATATTTCTGTAATAATTATATATCCCTGTAGGCCTTGAATTAACAATCAAAGTTTAGCTTTCAAAACTCGAAATAAAAAAACTCTAGCAAATATAATTTAATCACTGCCTGATTATGGGTTCGTTAATATTTGTATTTTGTATTATTAAATTATTAATCATAGATTCTTATCAATTTTAGGCCTCTCAAAACGGCCATTGGGGCCACCGCATCGTAAAAGCAGTCTACCAAAGCATCAGGAGGTGAAGCGACGCTTCCTGGAAATTTGTGATACGACCTTCTCGGAGGAGGTGAGGGCCGCCCTCCGTCTGCCGGCCTTCGACTCATACGAGTGGGGCGACGCGGACGTTATCCACCTTATGCAAACTATGTTCGTTGAGCTGGGATTCATCGAGAAGTTCAGCATTCCGGTGGATATATTACGTGAATGGCTCTACGAGGTCTACAAGCACTACAACGAGGTGCCCTTCCACAATTTTCGGCATTGCTTCTGCGTTGCCCAAATGGTGAGTGATCAAAAATATTATAACCACAAAATAATAATAATTATAATGTACATAATCACAATCTATACTAAAAATCATAAGATTTATGCATAATTTATACAATTTTGATTGGCCAAAACTCAAAAGAAAAGTGAAAATATGACAAAAGAATCAAGGATTTAAGTATCCATAATCACAAGATTTATGCTCATTTCATAAATTAAAAAGGCCAAAACATAAATTAGGTGTATTGTTATTGCTAATTAGAGTTTTTGCATTTTAAATTTATAAAATAAGCATCTGGCAGAGAGTAGGGAAAGCTTAGAATATAGTAGGATTATAGTAGGAATATAATAAATATAAGAAGAATAGTAGTAAGAATATAGAGATTATAAAGATAATACGGAGCCTACAATTACAAAAATTTGTACTGTACAAAAGTCAGCAAGTATCGCAAACTTCTTGCTATATGATTTACAAATTCAATTTTAATTAAATTTGAAACCTTTTAAAATCTTTAAATAGAATTAAACATCAGACCTTATTTTCAAAAGTTAAAATACAACAAAGTACCATCCATTTGAAGTACACTGGACTACATATTTTGCATTTAAATATGTATATTTACAGCTTGAAATTCGTATATAAATTAAGGCATCTCCTCCATGGTGACAATATATCACAAAATGGTCCGATTTATATAAAAATATATACAAATTCAAGACTTCTAAACACGCTTAATAATATCGATATTTTAGAGTTTCAAGCAATAGTTTCCTATACTTCTTATTTATATATATTAATAAAATCGGTTAAAAATTCACATTTTAAAAGGAGTATGCAGTTTTATTAACCTTCTAAAAATTAACATGCGACTGCTTTTCGAATTAAAATTAATGCGTTTTTGGCTTAGTTATATGATTTTTAAATTTTGATTTGTCGAAAAATTTTATATAAAAATATAGTTAATGTCGATTAAAAAATGGTAATGCACCTTCAGTCAGGAGCTTAAAACTAAGTGAAGGAGTCATTTCCGACCCTATAAATAATATATATTCTTGATCAACATCAACAGACGAATCTATCTAGCTATAGCCGGCCGAAAAAAAATTTCCAGAAATTTCCCATATTTCGGAAAAAAGGAAAGGGGTTACATCATTAAAATTTGCAAAAATCGGCCAAAAATTCACATTTTAAATGGAGTATGCAGTTTTGTTAACCTGCTAAAAACTAACATATGAGTGCTTTCCGAATTGAAATTAATACATTTTTGCTTAGTTAATCGTTTTTTAAAAATGGAATTTTTCGGGAAAATTATCATATAAAAGTTTTGATAAATATTGATACTAAATATTTAATTATTTCAAGCTTAGTTATGATAGATTTCCTATAGGAACCTATAATTCAATTGTTATTAAGTTAGTTTCCTTTTCTTTTCTCCCACATCCCAATTACAAACTCAAACCAATTAAATTGCAAAAATTAAGAATCTCAACTGAACCTTGTAAAAGGTCCTTAAATAAAGGCTTCCTTCCAATAGCTGCAAATAGAATACAGAGAATACAGTCTGTGAAATTGGATATACTCTTAATGGTCTTTCCCGGGGGCCATGTTGCTGAGTGTATTTTCCCTTTTTTCCCGATATTTACTATTGAAAATTAAATCTCAGGAATATATACATATATATATATATTTATTTTTTTTCCTCTCTCTTTTTGGGAAATTAGAAATTTGATATAGCAGCTAGTTTCTGTAGTTTCTGCTGCCTAATGGCAGTGCCCACAGCCCGGGGCCATTGTGTGTGTTTGTGATCCAATAATGTCGTCCTGCACATTATTAATAAAATACTTGAACGTACACACAAAAGGACACAATAAATGTTTGCTATTTATACATATATATATAATTTCGAATAATATATGCAGGCAGGCTCATAATGAATGCATGTTGAAGGAGAAATAAATGCCAAGAAGAAGATTCCTTTGCAATCGATATAATGTGAGCATTTTTATATGAGCTGAGGATATGTGTGTGTACATATATTCTTATATACTTATATTCTATAGAATATGTATATATTATATATATATTTCCCTAACAATGCAATGCAAAAATAAACCAAGGCAAGGTGTGTGTCTGTGTGTGTGTGGCTTAGGACAAGGCCTATTTTTAGTTGCCTTCAAAGATCCAACCAAGATATAAAATATATATATACAGATATATATATGTATACAAAGAGCCCAAAAACTAAAGAAGAAACCAAGAAATTTGTTTCTCTTTTAAATAGCAAACCAACCCGACACTCTTTTTTTTTTCTTCTTGTTGTGAGGTCTAAGAGGTCAGGCCACTGGTCACTCACCCAATGCAGGTCCCAAAAAAAATATAGAAAAAAGGAAAAACTAACCGAAAAAACCACCCCACAGAAACCACCCTGGAAAACCCACCACCACCACCACCACCACCCACTCACCCACCGAGAAAAAGCACGAGCACTTAGAGCCAGCGACCCACTTGGCTGCTCAAGTGCCAATGGAACATTTTTTAACCTACATTTTTGGCAAATGAAAGTTTCGCCGCGGTGTTGTTGCATCTTTTGCTACAGTTTTTTACTATATTTTTTGTAACCCAAAAGTACCCATTAAAGGAATGGGTATATGGGTTATACAGTAAACTTAGGGGGAAAACCTTTTAAAGGTTAGGTAGTCTTATGAAATACCTTTTTTCCTGGGAAGCTATTTCTTGGGTTGCAAAAAATAATTTAACAAATAAAATGGGAAATCCTATATTCCTTAGAATAGGGTTTACAAGGAAAATAAATGGGTAAAAGCTAAGGAAGTTTAGAAAATCTTATTTAATAGCCTTTGTTCGGGAAGATAGTTCTTAATTATTTCCTTTTGACTTCACAAAACTATGCTAGTAAACAAAATAGGACAACTATAAATATGAGGTCTTCCACATTTTTAGTTTTCTATAAAAAAAATATAGAAAGGTATATAGTTTTTGGGAGAAAATCTCTGCAGATAGCATCTTTAGGTTTAGGAAATCTTTCTAAAATTCCTTTACTTCTGCAAACAATTTAGTTCTTAATAAAAAATTAATTGGTAATTACAGTCAAACCTACAGAATATCCTCTATTTAAAAGTTTTCTAATAAATAATTAGTAAAATATATATTTATAATAAAATATATGCATACTTTTCTATTATATTTTAAATATCGAAATACCCCTTAAAGAAAGTCTATTTGGTTTTTAAGAAAATCTATGCAGAAAACCCTAAGTTTAACAAATAATTACAAAAACCTTTAATTTGTCAAGTTTTGTATTAAAAAATTATAAAAACATTTTTACCTACAGGATATCCCTCTATTCGTTAGTTTTCTCTCTCAAAAAAAAATATATACAAAGGCCCTTGGCAATTTCATTTTTTCTTTTTTATTTTTTGTTTTTTTTTTTTTGTTAAGCTGTCTAATTTCCCTCTCTTTGTGGCAACATAAATATGAACTGAGATAAATTAAAATGCATTTGCCTCTCAATGGCAGACACAAAAAGTTTTTGCCACAAAGCAGGCTGGCAGCACTTAGGCAAGCTTTACTGTGAGGCAACTCAACTTTCTCGATGAAGAGAACTTGAGACAAAAGACACAGACACAGAGACACTGAGAGAGGAAGAAAAACCGTAAACGAAACGAAACGAAAACTTAAATAAATTATTTTTCCCAGGAAAGACAACAGCAGGCAAAGGGCGGGCAGGTGCAGGTTAAGAGGGGGGAAAATGTGGCAACAATGGCAGCCAATGCAAGTTGAAGTCAACACAATATGTGTGTGTGTGTGTGTGCAGCAGAGGGCGGGGCTTGAAGGACACTGAAGGACCTGCAAAAAGTCAGAGATAGACGAGGCATCAAGTATACGCACTGTTGCCCACCAGAGCAACTATGACAATCGCATTATTATTATTATTTTTTCGCTTTTAAATATGTTTTCCCATAAACCGCATTATGTGCCAAAAATCAACAAGAAAACACGAGAGAGTTTAACACATTTGTGTGTTATTTTTTATGGCTTTTTGGAACATATAATGTCCAGTGCAAACTGCACTGTGCCAAAAGCAGTTATAAAAACTATAAATTCTATTCAGCTTAGACAATTATGTTTGAATCATTTCAAATTGAGCTTTAACACACATGCCACAACATAAAGATTAAACTGGGGCAAGGCTTAAAGGTTTAACAGAAAAAAAAGGTCCTTAAAAATTTTCGACCTTCTGCTTCGACTTGTCTATTATTCCATTTTTTATTTTTTTATTTGGTTTATTTTTTTCCCCCCATTTTTATCGCTGCCCAGCGATCCATATGCGTTTGTTGCGTATTTTACAATTCAATGGGGGGAACAACCATTTGCATAGGCGAGTCATGTCCATAAAACCAACAGTTGTGGTTACAATAATAGGAGTGTTTCTTTTGGAGAAAATAAAAAATGAGCTAATAGACTTTGAAAAACATTGTTATAAGCAACAAAGTAGTGGGTACAGTTTGTTTAGAAAGCTGTAAAAAATGTACAATGAGGTACAAACTTCTAGGTTTTCTTTTTTCAGTTTGTTTAGTCTGAAAATCTCTTTAAAATCTCTTTAAAATGATTGAAAATTATATTTTTAAATGTATAAACAATATATAAAAATCCAATTCCAATACCAACTCCTTTAAATCAAGTAAATTATTATAAATATTATAAAAACAAATCAAGTAAATATTAGGCCTTGCAAATTGAACCTTTTCTGCTTGTAAAATTTATGATTTAATTTATGTTTAATAAAGAAAATAATACTATAATTTCCTTTACAATTATTTCTTTTAAATATAAAGTGTATAAATATATATGCGTGTATTTGTGCCTGTATAAGGACTCTGGGCTCGCAGGACATGACAGTCAAGCCGTTAAGCCGCTTTTGGCGCAAAACCCACAAACAAGCGAAACAAAAAATCCGGCGGCATTCGAAAAAAAAAAAATGAGAGCGTAAATTTAAATTATTGAACGGAAAAACTTCCCACCCTTTTTTCTCCTCCCCCACATTGCATTTTTCCAGAGGGAAATGGCAGCATGACCAAACACTTTGACTAATTTCCATTGGCTGCACTTTTCATCTGACGCTGTCGTTGATTTCCTTGGTGTATATTTGTTCGCTGAAAAGTTTACCAACAAGCGGAAAATGCAGAGAAGCTAACACGTAGCCACACACCCCCTCCCCCTCTCCCCCTCGGGAAAATTGAGGGAGAGGGGTGAGAATAACGGTGTTTGTGGGCGGTTGTCTGCGTCTGTTTGTTGACAATGAATTTAGATAAACTTGCGAAATTCGAAACGCAAACAGCATTTGCATTTGCATAAATTTATAGCACCAGCAGCAGCCCCTCCCCTCTTTCACACCCAGCATTTTCCCCAGTGAGATTTTGTTTTCTACACTACACATATATATATATATATATATATGTATATAACCCCAAACACACACAACCCCTTTCGTTCGCATTTAATGCCAAAGTAAACGCAATGGCGGCAGAAAGTTGTGCAACAACTTTTACGACCAGAACCCCCAAAAGTCTCTTCGGAAAAGTCGCCTCTCAACTGCGGCGAGGATAATCGGAATAAATATCGATAGCTTAATGTATCGAAAGTAATTGTTTTCAATTGGGAAACATAAAGAAAAGTGATTAATTTACTGTAGTAAAATGTTATATATATTATAATAAAGTTAATACAAAAGCTTTGGTACAAATAATTACTAAACAAAGCTTTGAAAAATATCAAAAAAATGCAGTTAAAATATCTATAAGATAAAGAAATAATAATTTTCTTGAATATTAACCACAGCTACCATGTAAATTTTATCGAATTTTTGTCATTCTGTTAAATTTGTTAAGAGATTTATTAAAAAACTATCGAATGTGGTATATATTTTTTCGATATTTTTCAACCACTGCCACTTTTCCCACCACTATCACTGCATTTTTTTGTGCAACTTTAGTGCCAAGAGCTGAGCAAAGTTTGTGCTGCTTTTCCGAAGAGCTTCGCTTCAATTGAACGCTGTTGAAATTCCTTAAGGGGAATCCTTTGCACAACCAAAAAAAAAAAAAGAAGAAAGAAAATAGAAAAGCAAAGGCAGGGGGAAAAAAACGGAGGGGGTAGGAGATATAAGTGTGGCTGGTGGTCCTTCCACTCGTAATTGCAAAAGGACTTGCAGCAGACAAATTAAGTTCGCATGCAGAAAGTAAAAGTAGGAGTACCAAAGGACTACCGACAGACAGATCAAAGAGGGTGAAAATTCTGGGAAATATATAGAAATTTTCCACAAAAAGAATTTGAAGAGAAATTAAATTTTAAGTTAGGGATATATAATAATTATAGAACTAGTAAACTGTCAGTTAGTTGGGAAGTAGCCCACAACATAATATTTACTAGAGAGGATTTTATTTATCATCTATAAATTATGGTTATGAAATTAAAAAGCTATTCAAATTTATATACCAACGAGGCATGATCTGCAAATATTATGGAGAAATACTAAAGACAGACAGAAAAATAACAATTAAAATAAAGAAATTAAGCTAACTTTGAAAAACCCATAGGATCATAAGATCAAATATGGATTAGATCATAACTAAGCCGGAGATGCATTAACTTAAAGTATACGTTGGTAGATATTCTTAATACAATTTGCTGTATCACTTTATATTAAATTAAGTAATCGGGGCAATAAAAGTTAATTGGAATATAAGCGGACCTAGACCTGATCCCTTCTGTAGCTTCTATATATATCACGATAATTGTCATGACTAAGACTTATCGCACTAGGGGTATCCTTACTTAATTCCTTCCAGTGTTGACTTCAATAAGAGGCTTCATAATTTATCATCGAAGCTAGCTTTTCCCTGATCATCCAGATATATTGCATTGGCCAGGTGATAATTTTCGGGCCAAAGGGCAATCACTATCACTGCCACTATCACTACAGATGTTAACACTGGTGAGGCCGGGAACAGAATGAGGGCGGTGGGACGGTAGCGCCTGGAATTTATAGTCTCCAAGTAGAGAGAACAGCAGAGAGTGAAAGTGAGAGCATGCGGGAGAAAGTGATATCTCTAGAGACACATAGAGAAAGAGAGGGTGAAAGTGAAAGAGAGGGAGAAAGTCCCCAAAGAGATACGGTAGACCCGGAGAGACGGATTGACAGACGGATATGGCAAGTTCGACTTGGCCATTTATGCTGTTCAAGAACATATAATATATATACTTTGTAATGTTCACTGCGTTTTGCAGGCTTCTGACTAAAATTATAATACCCTCGCAAGGGTATAATTAGTACTTATAATAATTAAATAAGAATGTAAACTAACTTTAGGAAGCCCAAGTTTATATAAATTTGCAGTTTGAAACAGAATTACAGGATCGAATCGGAATCAATATTCATCGATATTTTTATATGATAATTAAAATCATAGTTTTAAAAATCTCATAACTAAGCCAAAAACTCATTAATTTTAATTCGGAAAGCGTTCCTATGTTAATTTGTAGCAGCTTAATATTGCTGCATACTACATTTAAAATTTGACTTTTTGTCCGATTTTTAGAAATTTTAACGACGTTTCCTTTCCCCTTTCCTTTTCAAAAATATTTTTTTGGATTTAGCTAGAAAGATTCGCCTGTTGATGCTGATCAAGAATATATATTATTTATTGGCTCGGAAATGTCTCCTTCGTAAGTTAGAAGCTTCTGACGAAAAAATTTAATACCCAGGAAAGAGTATTAAAAATATAAAGTAAATATTTAAGGTAACAAAATTTTAAGTGAGGTAGTAAAAAGAAATAAAAAATCTATACCAAATATTATAATATATTATTATAATGACAACACTTTTAAGAAATATTAAATAATATATTATTTTTAGGGACAAAAAGATACTTTTTTGATCACTGAAATTGCAAGAAAGTTCTTTAAATTAGAAACAATGATTACCATATAACTTTCCTCTATTATATAGTATAGCTTAGCGGTACAAGGCCTCTTCTGATTTATTTAATTTGTATTAAATAAATATTTATATCATTTAAAAAGCAATTAAAATTTAGAAATTATAGTATAATATTATATATTTTTCAAATCTCCATTCCAGATGTATGCCATAACGCGTCAGGCGAATCTATTGAGCCGCCTGGGCGATCTGGAGTGTCTAATCCTGTTGGTGTCCTGCATTTGCCATGACCTCGATCATCCCGGCTATAACAATATCTATCAGATTAATGCCCGCACTGAGCTGGCACTCAGGTAGGTTTTTTAACAAATCTTTTTCTTAATATTTTTCTATAATATTTAATATTTATTGAAATATTAAATTCATAGATACAATGACATCTCGCCGCTGGAGAATCATCACTGTTCGATAGCCTTCCGCCTGCTGGAGCATCCCGAATGCAACATATTCAAGAACTTTAGTCGCGACACCTTCAAGTGAGTTTCATTTTATATTATTTATATATTTGTGGAAAATTATTATAACCTGTATACTACATAGCCTCGATTTAAGCTTATATATACATATACGTATATATAATATATGTGTGTATATATATTTTTCTGGGGGGGATTTTAGTGATTCGTGGTGGGGTGGCTCCTCCTGGCTTGTCGTGGCTCAATTAATTGCCAATTGCCGGGCTTGGCCACTTTATGCACGGCACGTACAAAATGGCGTTGCATTAAACGTTCGCCCCATTGCCGTGGTAATTAACAGCTACAGCTACCAGCTGCAACGCCCACCTAGCACCACCACCCACCTTGCACCACCACCCGCACATTTTGCACATTTTCCCAACCCACCCACCCACTTGACCCAGTCCCCAAAAACAAAACAATAGCAAGGGGTGGGAGCAAAAACAGAAAAACGAACTGCAATCCTTGCCAAGGCACGACTGTGAAATCTATTGATTTGCTATTTAAAAAGAAAAATTCCCAGGCATTAATAATGGAAAAAATAAGAAACTATAGAGACAAAGTATTTACCTTTCAATTTATGGATAAAAATCGGATTATTTTAAAATATTTACATACTTTTTATATTTCAAAAATGTATTTGTTATATTTTAAAAATATGTATATTAACATATTTTGCAAGTTTTTCCATTTTATTTTCCTAACAAAATAGTTTTTCGATTTTCTCAACTTTTTAAATAATTTATAAATAAATAAAAAAATGTAAATTATGCATTTTAAGATATTTTCATAGCCTTCGCAGGGTATTCCAATTTTAGTCAGAATCTTAAAACAAAGTCAAGGAGTCATTTCCGACCCCATAAATCATATATATTCTTGATCAGCATCAACAGGCGAATCGTTCTAGACCTTTTTGGAAAGAAAAAATATTTTTTCAATTTTTTCAAAAAAAGGAAAGGGGTTACATCATTAAAATTTTCAAAAATTGCCAAAATTTTAAATTTTCTTTAGTTTCAAACTAAGTATGCAGATTTTTTAACCTCCTAAAAACTAACATTGGAACGGTTTCCGAATTAAAATTAAGGCTTTTTTGGCTCAGCTATGAGTTTTTTAAATTTAGAATTTGCATCAAAAATTGTGATATAAAATATCAATCAATTGATTAAAAAATGAGGTTATTTTCAGCTTAATTGTGATAGATTTCCAAATTGATCCTATAATTCAAATACAGACTTCAAGAATATTTAAATTTCGGCTTCTGGTAGTTAGTTTGCTTTCTTGTTATATTTTATATTTTATAATAACTCCTAAACAAAATGCATATCAAACAATACTCTTGAAGAATCAAAATCTATCTATGTATATTCCTCTTGTAAAAAAATACACTTATATACTGACAATTAATTTTGATATAAATATATATCTGAAAATATCCCTTCGTAGGGTAATCCTTGTACATAAGTAGCAAAGTTTGAAACAGAAAAAAAAACCGAGTTGGACCTTGAAGCTGGAATGAATGTCTTGGGTGCTGCTCTCTTGTTTTCTTCTTATGCTTTTCTTTGAGGTTTTTTTCCCCCAGTTTTTCCACTGGTTTTTCCCTGGTTTTCTTCGGGGTTTTTCCCGCTGCTTTACTCACTATGCTGTGACTGCCAGCGGTTCGTTCGGTTGCGAATGAAGATTAAGCTGTAATTGGCCAGGACACGACATAATCCCGGGCGTTTCAGTTCGCTTACGGAAAGGAAGGACCTTTTGGCCTTACCTTTACCTTTGTTCGAGTGCAATTGAATGCCGTCGAATAATTACCGCTGAACAATCGATTTTACAAGTAATTAAATTAAATCGAAACCGATTTACTAGCTACTCAATTGGCCAAGAGGAGAAATATTTATATTAACAAAACCAAGGGGGCCAATGAAGTGTATTTATAGTTAAGTGAAGTAATTTCTTCGACTTATAATATTGATTTTTAAGCAAAGGAGGGAAGAAATCTTACAGTAAAGATGTTTTAAATAAAATTAATAATTCAAATAATGTTTCTTAGAGCCTTAATAAATATATTTATTAATTAAAATCGATAAATATATAGACAGATTTAAAGTATACAAGAAATTCCAGAAGTAAAAAGGTTTTCACACCTTAATTTAATTTAAATAATTTCATAAAAAAGTTTTCATAAAAATTATAAAACTAGCAAAGAAGTTTTTTTTTTGTAGTTGTTTGTTTTATCTTTTGCCACAGATTACGCGTTTATATAATAAAGCTATTTGATGGCTTAGCGAAGCTTTTTCCGCGCTTAACTGACCCCCAACTCCATGCGCATTTTAAACACTGATTTTTTCCCGCATTTTCCGAGGTTTTCTTTCTCCTTTTTTTATTGCTCCTGCTTGCACACTCATTGCATGCATTTTATATTGGAAAATATTCCGCAAACACTAATTAAGTGGATTAGCCGGCGAAATGCTTTTTCTCGTCCTGCAGCCACGACTTTGACTTTGGCCAAATGGGGGGAGAGGAAAATGGAAAATGGCAACAGGAGAGAGAGGGAACTTCAACTGTGATGAGCATCACAAGGAACGCAATCAGTAGAGAAGCAGCAGCATTTTCCAACCATTTTCCACACACACACACACACACACACACCACTGTCATTTTCCTTGGCAAGTTTTGCGTGCATAAACTATTGGGATACTTTTGGGAGTTTTTGATGGCAAAACTTGTCGGCATATGCCAGGCATCATCATCAAAGTTGGCGAGGGGATGGGAAATAGGAAAATGCTAAGGAAAATTCTGGGGGGGGGGGAAATGCCTAGGAAAATAGCTGAGGGGAAATGTGTGAGGAGAGTGTGGCAAACAATCTACAAACAGTTGTCATTGCGATTATTAAGCATTATGTTTATGTTGACTGCAGGCAGGGATGGCATTTTCGCAAATTTCCCATTGTCTTGTGCAATTATTTCCAAAACTAAATAAGCAAATATTATTACATCATTTGACTGCATAATGCTGGTAGTAATAATCACCAAAAACCCAAGTTATTTATGTCTTTGTTTAATATGCTTTAGGGAAATTCTACAGAAAATTGCATTGAAAAGCAATTGAAGCTCAGGGATATGAAAATCTCTAAACAAATATATATTTCAAGGCTTAAACTAAAGTAAAACATATATTTCATTATCACAAATATATACTAATTAATAATTTTCAAGAAATTTATGTTTCTTTACTATATTCTCATGATCCCTTTATTTTCCCTTGTCTTACTGCTTAATTAAGCCGTACAAAAAACATTGAAACACTTGCCATTTTCCGCCCTGTCAATTGCAGAAATGCTACCTGAACACCTGACCTCACACACCTTTCCCCTTCACCTCACACACCTTTCCCCTCCCCTTCAGACACAGATTTTCCACCCTATTTCCCTTCAACTATTTTTTTATTCATTTTTTTGTGCCTGCCCCTCACTTTTATTCATTCTGTTGCATACTTTTTGGGGGCAGACTCTTCAATATTTTTTGGCTATATTTGATGGGTCTGTATGTGTGTTGTGTGTGTGTTGGGGGTGTGTGTGGGTTGGCAGGTGGTAGAGGGGGCGTGGCCATAACAAACAACAAGCCCTGTTACGCGTGGTTGCATTTTATTTGATTGCGGCCAACCGCCAATTTTTGGGACAAACCAAAGCAAATATGCTGCACTTCTGGGTGCATTTTTTTCAAAAGAAAAGGTATAAAAAATAGGGTACATAATAAAAACAACAACAAATAGGTACAGCAAAAAATAGCTACAATAAATATTATCAAAAAAATACAAAGAAACTAAAGAGGATATTTCAAATAAGTTTAAATGAAATACAATAGCACAGACAGGTAACAATACATCAAGTATTAAATACAATTGTATGGTTCAAGTGCTTTTTATGTTTTATATATATTTTTTATGGGTTTGAAAGGCCTATAGGTTCAATTTTTATCCATAAATAAACGTAAAACTTATTAAATATATAAATAGGAGGTAATTTTCGAGTATTTTAAAATAAACTAAAAATTGTATATGTTACCAAGTTTATTTCTCTCTTTTATTGCTTTTTACATCCCACAATTTACTTTTAAAAGAATGATTATGATATTTAGATCAATTTTTATATTTTAAAAGAGAAAGATTTCCCTATTAAATTCATCTTTAATATTTTCTGATACATTTTTAAAGAATTAAAGTATTCAAAATACTTTAATAAGAAAATATTGATTTGTATTATTATTTTAGTCAGAAGCCTGAAACTATGTGAAGGAGTCATTTCCGACCATATAAATCATATATATTCTTGATTAGTATCCAAAAACAAATCGATCTAGCCATGTCCGACGGAAAAATAAATTTTCAAAATTTTTAGAACTTTTTTAAGGGGTTACATCGTTGAAATTTTAAAAAATTGGCCAAAAATTCACATTTTAAATGGAGTATGCAGTTTTATAAAGCTGTTAAAAATAAACATACGAACGCTTTCCGAATTGAAATTAATGCATTTTTGGCTTAGTTATGCGTTTTTTTAATTTTGATTAGGCGAAAAAAATTCCCATAAAAAATGTAGGTAATATCGATTAAAAAAGGGTATTGCACCTTTAGTTAGAAACTTAAAACTAAGTAAAGGAGTCATTTCTGACCCTATAAACTATATATATTCTTCATCAGCATCAACAGGAGAATTGATTTAGCTATCTTTGGCAGAAAAAGAAAATTTTCAAAATTTGCAGAATTTTTTAAGTGGTTACATCGTTAAAATTTGCTAAAAATTTGAATTTTTTATATATTAAATTGAGTATTCAGATTTATTAACCTAATAAAATCTAACAGAGAACTGCTTTCCGAATCAAAATTGGGTTCTTTTTGCCTGATTTATGGTTTTTTTTAACTTTTGATTTATCAAAGAAAAATTTCCCTTAAAATATTTTAATAAATATTCATTTAAAATCCCTGGCAAGCCCCTAACTAAGATCTTATATGGTTAAACTTTTAATAAAGTTTCAGGAATGCAGGAAATCAAATAGTTATTTAAAAAAAATTAAAGATAGTGTAGTATTTATTCTAGAGTTTATAGAAGATCATTAAATATCCCGGAAATTTTGGTGAAATTTCCTAAATTTTTTACTATAATTTTTCACAATTTATTTAGAAACAATTATTTAAATAACAAGAATGATCACCAAATGCGACACTTGTCGGCGGGATTCATTCGACTCCCTGCCTTGCAGTGAAAAGCCTCAACAAACTCTGGCATATTGCCCAGGACATTGTTGACTCTCTCCGCATGTCCTGCGTGCTGCAGTTGCTGCGGAGTCTTCGTCTCTGTTCCTGTCCCTGTTCCTGTGGCCGCCACTCCACACCAGTTTTGGGCAAAGGCCACAAAGAAGCTCCTGAGATGCTCCTCTCCGCCATTCGAACCATTCCGCCTCCTGGCCAGATACATGTCCAGGGCCAGTCGGAGTCCCTCACTATCCGCTATATTCTCATTGACCGTCAATGTGGCATTGCTATAACGATTGCCCAGGTAACATATGGCCTTCAAGCCAAACTTGATGATGGCTCTGGCCGGCCACTGGCCATTGGCCAATTGTCCGGCGGCATCATAGCTAATGCCATCATAGTCAAAGGCATGCACCATCTCGTGGGCAATAATATAGCCCAATCCGGCGGAGAAACGAGCCTGGGAATCCAGGTCCTTGTCGCATTTCTGCTGCTCCTGCTGCTGTAGCAGAGAGGTGGCCATAAGTCCCAGCGGCAATTCAATGCGATTCAATTTGAGGCGATAGTAGGCATTCACGGCCAAAGGATCCGCAGGAGCAGCGGTCACTGGTTCACCAAAGACCTGACGGAATTCCAGGCGTGCCTGGTTGAGGGACAATTGCATTAGGGTGACATCCCAACTAGATACTGCTCCTGATCCTGCTCCTGATCCTGCTCCTGAGCCCACTGCATATCCTTGTGCCTCCTGCAATCTGGGAGTGATTAATCGCATCGCTCTTAACTTCTCCCTGGCCAATTGCCGTGTATTTTGATCCTGTTCAAAGACCTTTGTGGCATTCAAAGCTGCCTCAAATTGCAGCTTGAGATCCCTAAAGAGCAAGGCCACTTGCTGAACAGCTGTATCATATTCCTCTCTATAATTTGCACCCAAAACTAACTCCATTTGCAATCGTCCCAGGGCAGCGGGCATTAGGAGACGCAATTGATTGAGACAATGATCTCGCTGTGAGCTCAAATTCTCATCGTCATGCATTCTCAATTCAAAGTGTGCCGGCAATTGGAGTAGTAGCCAAGTGGAGAGTATCAATGGATTCAGTTCGTTGGGGGGATTAGTTCTTAGAATCCTTTGTAGACCCTGCAAATAATCCATATCGGCCACAATTAGCAGAGTTGAGGGATCCCAGTCTAAGCCTTCGAGCAGGATTCCAAAGTAACGCTTAAGTTGAAGATGCGGCAATTGCTGATCCCATTCCCTCAAAGCTTGAGGCTCTCGAAGCACCAATGTTTGCTCTACATTTTTGGGTAAGAGATGCCGTAGACTCTGCTCAAATTCCACCAGACGTTCGGCCAGGAGAGCTGCCCTTCGCACTCGCAATCCCAACTCAATAAGCAGAATTTTGAGATATCTTTGGTACAGGAACTCACTCATTGTGTCCTCACCCAGGAGATCGAAGCGCGGTGGCAGCAGGTAGAAGATCCTTTGCTCCGCCGACTGCCAGTTGTCCTGGACAAGTAGACGCCATAATCCCTGGGCACCGTATTGTCGCAGGGCAGCATTGGCCAGGATCCAATCAAACGTTGATGATGATGTAGAGTTCTTCTCCAGCACTGGAAAGATGGCACCACTTCGTTCCATTGCCTCGGTATAGGAACGTAGAGTTTGACCAGCAGACAGGCAACTTCTATAGTAATTCGACAGCGGTGTAGTGTCCACATTTTCAAAATGATGAATCAGTTTCAACTTTAGATTGGCACTCCACTTGGAGTGCATATCGTGTGCCCCCAAATTGCGTTGGAAAATATTTGCATACCAATTGCCACAGGCATGTTGATAGAAATTCTCACAGGGTGGCTCATCCGTATCCATATCATTCTCCTGCTGACAGTCCTGCGAATGCACAGGAATCACCAATAGTGCCACAAGGAGCAGCGGGATAATTCCAATTGTGATCCTTGCATTGTGAAGCTCCATTCCGCCAGCACCGCTTTTTGTTTACTGAATGAATGACTGGAAATCGCTCTCCCTCTTCTCAGTCTCTTCCTGCTTACTATTTTGGATTTCCAAGTCTCAAATTCTAATCCAAATCCCAAGTCCGGGCTTTCGTTCGATGCTGATAAGCAGTCGGAGATAACCGTGCCTGACATTCACCATTTGTCAGGGCTCCAACGACCCAGTGACTAGTGGGGTTTTGTTTAAGCGAGAGTTGTACAAGGAATTTATGGGAATTTTAACTATTACCACAAAATATAAATAATATCCTTCTGTAAGAAAGAATTTCTAAAAAAGAGTTGTGGGAAAAGAGTGGGAAATGCTCACAATGAAACTTTGTTAAATTTCCAGCTTTTGACTAAAGTCCTATGCTTTTCAGAAGACCTAAAAGACTGCATTCTACTAACAATATATTTTATATATTTAACTATTATTAAAATTAGGAATCATATCAAAAGAAAATCAAAATAAAATAAAGTAAGCTATCTTCGGAAAGTCGAAGATGATATATTCTTGCAAATAGCACTTAAATTGTAGAATTGATTCTTAAATTGAACATAACTAACTTTAATATATTTGCATATTTTGTATCAATAATTATACATATTTTTCTATGACCATTTTTTAGGCAAAATCGGATATTCAAATACTCATAACTTAACTAAAAATGCTTTAATTTCAATTCGGAAAGCTGTCCCATATTATTTTTTTAAAGGTTAATAAATCTGCATACTCCGTTTAAAATTTTAAAATATTGAAATTTTTAACCAAATTTTTAACAATTTTAATGATGTAACCCCTTTAAAAATTTTGAAAAAAATTCGAAAATTTATTTTTCCCCTAAAGATAGCTGGAAAGATTCGGTTTTTGAAGCTGATCAATAATATATATGATTTATAGGGTCGGAAATGACTCCTTCACTTATTTTAAAGCTTCTGACTAAAATTATAATATCCTGCAAAGATATAATAAAGCCCAAAATTTTTCTAGTTTTCAATATAAAGCACCTTCTAATTTTCCCACTAGAACCTTAAATTTTTCTATAATTTCTGATTAAAAAAAATATATAAAACCTGCCAAAAAAGGACACACTTTATAACGAATTACAAAACAGAAAGCAAATCAAATAGTATGGATAATGTCTTTAAATCGTAATGCAAACTTTAATTTCCACTCAATGAAATGAAATAAAATGAAATGAAATAAAAATCGTGAAACGTGCTTGCTAACTGAGCTCGTCGCAAGGCCAAAATCGTTAAGATGAAACCCGAGATAGGAGCCTCTCCACAGATTTCCCTTTCCAAGTCGCTGAAATGGCTTTGGCGGCGTTCACCGTTAAATCACAGAGAGCCCACGCGTAATCAATTAATCATCTCACACTTGCTGTCTCTTTCTATCGCTCTATCTCTCTCTCTCTCTCTTTCTATGTCTTTCTCTCTCCCTGCCAGGGAAAACCAAATTAGCTGCTGGCCACCTTCAATAATTTGCCCTTCACACAGATACACATACACAGAAATATAGCAAGTGCACTGAGAGAAAATGCGGGAGTATACCAAATTATGCATGAAAATGAATATTATTTTTTTTTAGACCCCTAATTTTACTAAAAAGCTTGAAACTAAGTGAATGAGTCATTTGCGACCCTATAAATGATATATATTCTTGATCAGCATCAACAGCCGAATCGATCTAGCTATCTTTTGGGGAAAAATAAATTTTCGATTTTTTTTTCGAAATTTTTTTAAGGGGTTACATCGTAAAAATGTTAAAAAAATTGATCAAAATTTGAATTTTTTTTATTTATTTATTATCATAATAAAAACTAACATCAGACAGCTTTCCGAATTAAATTTAATGCTTTTTTGGCTGAGTTATGAGTTTTTTAAATTTCAATTTGTTGACAAAATTGTCTTAGAAAAATGTGGATAAATATGGATTCAAGGAATGCAAATATTTTAAGCTTAAGTATGATCAATATCCAATACAATCCCGTAATTAAATTACAAATTGCTAAATATATAAACTTCGACTTCCTTAGGATAGTTTTCTTTCTGGCTTTTCACTTCCTTTTTTATATTTATAATTACATTTCTCTCTGTGTAATTCCGTTGTATCTCCTGAGCAAAAAGCACGCTGCGATTGCCTTTTTTAATAATGTTGAGAGTCAAGTTTACACAGGAGATAAAAATCACAACGCGATGAGCAAATGAGCGAATGAGAAAGAAGATTCAGCAGCTTATCGCTTCTTTGTGATTAGCTTTTCAATTGATTAAAGTTCGATTACGTGCGAGGAAATCAAAGAAAGAGAGCCTTAAGGTCTTTAAGATTCATTAGTTCAATAAGCCCAAAACAATATATCAAAGATTCTTCAGTTTATGCCCAAGTAAAGCTATGCAGGTATGACACTCGACCTAAAAATGTATTTATATGTTGTTACAAGTTTATATATTTACTTTGCAAATAGTTGATTTTCTTGAATAGTTAAATTTTCTTGAATTATTTCACTCCCTTCCCCTCCAGAAAACTCATGCAACCTTGGCTTGAAGTTTTCTTTCCCTCATTTAGTTATTTGGTTAAGTCTCCGAAGTCCCATTGCAATTACGTGGCTAACATGCATTTACAAATTGTGCAGCAGCAGCGGGGAGGATAGGGGGGGTGGAAAATCGGGCTTTTCTCACAAGTTTTCCCTCTCATCACTTAATTGCAATTTTCTCAATTTGTTTATAAGGAAACTATCAATATATTTATATAAATACATTTTGTTTACTTAAGTTCTGACCTCGGTTCGAAGAGCGGAAACCAAATGGAGATATAAAAATTTAATTAAAATTCAACAAACACAGGAATACTGATACTGCGAAAGGATGTGCTTGGTCCTGGCAAAAAGGATGTGTAGGATGTGTAGGCGGTAAATCTGAAACCAGCTGCTTCTGATTCTGCTGTTGCTTCACTTGAACCTAAAATAAATCATCAAAGAACGCAAAAGGCGGCAAAACAGCGGGGAAAAGTGATAAATGCACTGAGAGAAATCAAGGAAATTTAGTGGACTATAGCAATTGTATTATTTAGTATTTTTAGGGGGGGTAATTTGGATAGATTCACATCATTATTATTATTTGGGATAAAAGTTTCATAAGATTCTTTGCATTGTAATGTTAGATAAAGTTAAAATGAGATTTTAATAATTAATTTCTTGTTGGGGAATGATTTAAATTGGTGTTAGCATTATATTTTTCATTAAATTAATTATTTTTTAATGGATTTTAGTCTCGTATTTCTTGTTAGATACATTTCAACATAGGTTTAGTTGCAATTCGAATCAATTTTAATAAAACATGTTCGAGTATTATATTTTAATGTGCTTCAATATTATATATCTATATAATAGATAAATTTTGAAGTCAACTTGAATATAAAAATCCTTGTTAGATAAATATTAAACATCTTTAATAATAATTTTTGATATATATTAAAGTGTGATGATTATTTCGTACTAGATAAATATTTATACAGACTTAAATGTTTATTTTTCTTAAGCAAGTATTGAAATGCATTCAAATATTCTAATTACTGCGAGGTAAATATTTAAATAGCTCTTCTTTTTTATATATTTTCCGTTGTTAAATAAAAATATTACCTAAACTTTATACATAATATAATATATTCAATTGTTTTCTAACCTGGTTATAGAAATAATACCTATCTAGCATTCATTTTAGGACCTTTTTCTTTTGTAAATTATAATTTATTGCACATTATTTTTACTCCAAAATTCTTTCTTCAAGTGTCAAGGATAAGTGGTGAAGGATCTGCTGGCGGCAGATTTGGCACTCGACGCTTTTGCAAATTAGTTTCGAGTTGAGTTTTTTGGGGGTTCTGTGGGCTCACCAGAGCTCAACTCTTGGCGCTTGGCGCATTTCATGCAATTATTTAGTCATAATTAGCGCATAATAGTTGCCGTTTTTCGTCGGCACAAAACTTTTGCTCATCTGCCAGTCCTTGGCATTTTCCGCTTTTCTTTTCAACCGCCCACCCTCCCCATCCACTTGCTTCACAATTCATCATCATCATCAGCATCAGCATCAGTCCTGTGGCAGGGATAATGCCGGCAAAGGATAATCACTGCAGTTGCCACATTAATTGAAGTGAAATTTTTGAAACTAAACGAAAGCTGACAGCAACAGCAACACAGCTCGTTTTCTTTGGCTTTTCCACAGAAAATAATAATATGAATCACACACACAAGGGAATCCTTTTTGCATTCCTAACAAGCGTTATCCTTGCCGCTGCAAATCAATTTCCAGCTAATTCCCCACTCTCTGTGTATATTAATTAAATCTGAAGGTATTAGTTTATCAAAAAGCCACTAGAAAGTGCTGTATATTGCACTCAGTTTCTAGGATGTGAATGTGAAGAGGATAAGGGATCTTCATAGTCACGAGAGGAATTAGTGGCATTCTAACCATATTAATTACAGCAGCAAACCAAGCAAATAATATTACACTCTATTCCCTTAAACCACTAGTCCAGCGAATATTAATTATGTTGCGTATACGTTATATTGATGGGCATTTAATTGGTTTCATTATTATACATTCTCAGTCGATATTAATCTTCCTAGAATTTTAAAGCTATAGAAATCGTAATTTCAGTTAAATATATATTACCAAAAAAATTACATTACGTATACATAATATTTAGGTGTGTAAATATCACGTATACGTAATTTTTAATTCAGTTAATATTACGTATACGTAAATTTCAATAATTTTAATATTACGCACACGTTATTTTCAATTAAGTTAATATTACGTATCGCAATTTTCAATAGCTTAGACATTACGTATACGTAATTTTCAATAGCTTAAATATTTCGTATACGTAATTTTCAATAATTTAAATATTACGTATACACAATTTTCAATAAATAAAATTATACGTATCCGTACCTTTTAATAAAGTAAATGTTGCGTATACGTAATTTTCAATAATGGAAATATTATGTATACGGTATTTCCGACAATTTTAATATTACGTATACGTAATATAACGTATACGTTGTTTTTAATAATCTAAATATTATGAACGCAAAATTGGCACAAAATTAAATATTGCGTATACGTTATTTTCAATAAAGTTATAATATAAATATATATAATTTTCAATAAATTAAATATTACGTATACGCAATTTTTAATAAAGTAAATATTACGTATACGTAATTTTCAAAAGAGTTAATATTACGTATACGTAATTTTCAAATATTTAAATATTATGTATACGTAATTTTGAATAAAGGCAGAACTACGTATACGCAGTTAATAAGCAGTAATACAAAAATTAACAAAAAAACTCCCTAGACCCCAAAATAGTCTTGTTTACTGTCATCAAAGTATCAAAATTTATTTTTATATCCTTGTCTTTAGAACCTATTTTTGTATTTGAGAAACCTTTCATATTACCGGGACACTTATATTTTTGTTATATTTATTTTTTTTATTGGGTTTAGGCAGACAACCAAGGTAGAAACCCGTCAGGCTGTCAGAATTTGTTTAGTTATTGATGGAGATGCAATTTTCCATTCAATTTTCAGCGGAATTCTATTCTAGGAGAGGAAAAAAGCTGTCGTTAATACGACGTCCGATGTGTGTCTCAAATGGGGGGGAAAATAATAATAATGATATACAAACATATAAGTATATACTTTTATATAGATTTTTCTGGCAAGTGAACAGTAAAGTGTGCAAGGTGCAGGAGGTGCTCAGTTTTCCCACTATCCGGCCCCATGTCAATGCTGCTGCTTGACATGAAAAATTCAATTCAATTTCCAGCTGGCACGCATTTTCCTTTTTTTTCGTTCTACCTCACCTCACCTGGACGCTTCCCGTCGCTTACCGACGCTTTTCCGCACGCTTTTCCGACACTCTCTTGTCTTGGGCTGCCTCAATTTCAAATGAAGCGAAATGCAATTTGATATTTTACGCGCTGCATTTGTCAGTCTCCCGGCCATTTTTCCGGGAAAAGCACTTCATTGGCCTTGTTGTTGCCATCCCTCCGCCCCTCCCGTAAATACTTTTCACTGCCCACATGAGAGTCATGCTTTCCGGGTTTTCTTGCTGCACTGCCTTCCCATCTCCTTGTTTTTCCTCAGTTTTCCTCTTTGTTTTTCCTCTTTTTTTTGGGGCAATCTAAGCTCTGTTTGAAGTTAACCAATTTTTAGAACAATAAAGAAAGACACAAAAGGGACTAACTTGGGTTCTCAAATGGTAACAATGTTAAGGAAAATCTTGTAAAAATATTAGAGAAATTGTTGTAAACATTTAATAAACGAAATTACTAAGTATTTGTTGTTATTTTTCTGTTATTTTCAGCACTATTCGCGAGGGCATCATCCGGTGCATTCTGGCCACGGACATGGCCCGTCACAATGAGATCCTCACCCAGTTTATGGAAATAACGCCCATCTTCGATTATAGTAATCGTGCCCACATTAATCTGGTAAGTAACATACCGATAGAATCTTGATACATTAAAACTTCCTATGATATTTATACCCTTTTAAGATATTATAATTTTATTCAAAAGCTTGAAACTAAGTGAAGGAGTCATTTCCGACCCTATACATCATATATATTCTTGATCAGCATTTAAAGAATAATCTTTCTAGCTATCTCACAGAGAAAAAATTTTTTTGAAATTTTTTAAAAATTTTATAAGGGGTGACATCGTTAAAATTTATAAAAATTTATAAAAAATTTAATTTTTTAAATTATAAATGGAGTATGCTGATTTATAAACCTATAAAAAACTAACATAGGAAAGCTTTCTTAATTAGATTTAAGGCATTTTTGGCCTAGTTATGAGATTTTAAAAATTGATTTTTTTAACAAAAAAGAATACATTACGTATACTTATTATTTAGGTGTGTAAATATTACGTATACGCTTGACATTTTTAACTTTTTAGGAATATAAAGTAAATATTACAAATTTCATTTAATATTTCATTACTTTTCAATAAAGGAAAATATTACGTATACGTAATTTTCAAGTGAGCTAATAATACGTATACGTAAATTTCAATAATTTTAATATTACGTATACGCAATTTTCAATAAATAAAGTATACGTAATTTTTAATAAAGTAAATGTGGCGTAAACGTAATTTTCAATAAAGTAGATATTACGTATACGTTATTTTCGAAAATTTCGACAATTCAAACATTGCGTTTACGTAAATTTTTGTAAATTATCTGTTACGTATACGTAATTTACAATAAAAAATATTACGTATACATAATTTTTAATATAGCCAATATTACGCATACGTAAATTTCAACAATTTAAATATTACGTATACGTTATTTTCAATAAAGTTGAAATTAAAAGAGTTATTTCAAAAAATTTCAGAAAAATTAACATGATAAGCTTTCCACATTAGATTTAAGGCATTTTAGGCCCAGTTATGAGATTTTAAAAATTTGATTTTTTGAACAAATTTCTATATAAAAATATGAATAAATATTTTAAGCTTACGGTTTGAACGATTTCGAAGCAAACTTTAAGGTTATAAACATTTTGGCTTTCCTTAGTTAGTTTCCTTTCTAGTTTTATTATATTATTTTAACGCGATTATTCCTCGTACTATAACTCCTATATATACCTATATTTCTATCTATATTTCTACCTAAATTTCCACCTATATTTCTACCTATATTTCTACCTATGTTTCTACCTATATTTCTACATATATTTCCACCTATATTTCTACCTATATTTCCACCTATATTTCTACCTATATTTCCACCTATATTTCCACCTATATTTCTACCTATATTTCTACCTATATTTCCACCTATATTTCCACCTATATTTCCACCTATATTTCTACCTATATTTCTACCTATATTTCTACCCATATTTCAATAATAATACCTATAATACCTTTAATACCTATATTTCTTTATAGCTCTGCATGATCCTAATCAAGGTGGCGGACATTTCAAACGAGGCCCGACCCATGGACGTGGCTGAACCCTGGCTGGATCGACTGCTTCAGGAGTTTTTTGCCCAAAGTGCAGCGGAAAAGTCAGAGGGATTGCCAGTGACGCCGTTCATGGATCCGGACAAGGTCAGTAAGCCGGGCTCCCAGGTGCGTTTCATTGGTTTGGTGCTATTGCCACTATTCGAGGCATTGGGTGAACTTGTGCCCGAGCTGACGGACCTCATCATTATACCCGTGCGCATCGCTTTGGAGTATTACAGGTGAGAAGGAGATGCTTTTAAGTATTTAATTTAATTGATATTATTGATTGACTTGAATTCGTTTACGCTTGCTTTAGGCGCCTGAATGATGCCCAGACAAAGACCCGAAAATCGGTGGCGGATAGCAACACATCGGCAACCTCGGACAGTAATAGTGGCACCATTGATTCCAATGCGGCAATGGTCAGCACACCGGGCGGGGCCAGTGACAAGCTCAGCTTGGAAAAGTCCCAAGGCAACATGCAGGGCTCTGGCGGCGGAGGAGGTGGAGGAGGAGGAGCTGGAGGCGGAGGCGGAGGAGGAGGAGCAACTGGTTCAGGAGGAGGAAGTGGCGGCACTGGAGGCGGCTCTGGAGGAGGAGGAGGAGGCAGCAGCAATACCGCTGGCAGTGTATCCCCACAAATGCCACGCTCGGGGTCTGGCATCAGCGTAAAGTCACGCCGCAGCATCCCATCACAAAAGTCCGCCTCGAGGACATCCGTGGATGAGCCGGGAGGCATGGCAGCGGAGCTTCACGATCTGCCAGAGGGGAGCGAAAGTGGCGATTCGGAAACGGCCACCGAAGTGGATGTAAGTTAAGGTTAAGTCGAAGGGGATATATTTATATACAAGTATGGGAAGAGAGATAAAGATACTGAGATATGGAGAGCGATATAGAGATTTGGAGAGAGATTTAGAGAGAGACTTAGAGAAATATAGAGAGAAAATATAGAGAGACTTAAAAAGAGATTGAGAGAGATATGTAGAGAGAGTTGTAGAGGTATTTAGAGCGAGTTATAGAAAGAGATTTATGATGAGACCTCTCAATGGCTTTGAAGAGATTTAGAGAGAGATTTAGAGAAAATATAGAGAGTTGTAGAGAGATTCAAAGAGAGACATTGGGAGAGCTTTGGATAAAGATTTAGAGAGATTCAGAGACTGATTTAGAAAGTGCTTTGAAAACAAATTAAGAGAGAGGCTTAGAGAGGAAATTAGAGGGGCTTAGAAATAGATTTATAGAGAAACATTGGGAGCAATTTAGAGAACGCTAAGGAAAGATTCAGAGACAGTTTTAGAAAGTAATTTAAAGAGAAATTAAGAGAGAGGTTTAGAGACAGATTTAGAGAGACACTAAGATACAGATTTAAAGCCAGATTTAGTGATTTAGAGACAATTTTAAAGATAGATTTAGAGACAAATTAAGAGGATTTGTAGACTGAGTTACAGAGAGAGTTATAGAGAGAGTTATAGAGAGAGTTATAGAGAAAGTTATATAGAGAGTTATAGAGAATGTTATAGAGAAAGTTATATAGAGAGTTATAGAAAGAATTATTGATTGAGTTATAGAGAGAGTTGTAAAGAAAACTATACAGAGAATTATAGAGAGACCTATAGAGAGACCTATAGAGAGACCTATAGAGAGACCTATAGAGAGACCTATAGAGAGACCTATAGAGAGACCTATAGAGAGACCTATAGAGAGACCTATAGAGAGACCCATAGAGAGACCTATAGAGAGACCTATAGAGAGAGAGATATAGAGAGTGTTATAACTACAATTCCCTTACTAATCCTTTCACTTCTTCTCTGATTTATCCCCACTTCCCCGGTGGCAGGTGGCCGAGAAGACATCCAAATTCAAAGTGGACACCGAAGGCAGCAGCAATCGTAGCAAATCCTCCCACTCCACCTCCCGCAAATCCTCACGCGAGAAGCGTCCCTCAATGATCGGCGAACTGTGCAGCAGCGGCGGTGGCCAACGGATTCGCAACTCCTATGGCAATATCCATGGCTATCATAGCAATCGTTGTCACTTTGGCAACAATCGAGCGGTTAGTTTGGATCAGTACAGCAGCGGTGGCAACAATCGAAGGCTCTCGGATGGATTGCCCCAGGTGATCTCCGACAGCAATGTGTTCTACGGACGCCACAATCGCAGCAGCGGCCTTGCAGAAACCACATCTGCAGGTGGAGGTGGAGTCGGAGGCGGCTGTGTGGTTGTTGGCATTCCGCAGGATACTAATGCCAATACGAATGTACCACCTGGTAGCTGTCAACTGAAGGAGCTCCTTGCCCGCACCGAGGCTGGTGATTCCGAGAACGAAGATCCAGCTGCTCCAGCTGCTGTCCAGGATGCTCAGGAGGTTGATAAATTGGCCACGAAGATGATGATGATGAAGCCAATGCCAGTGGCAGTGCTGGCCTCCTCCTCGAATGGGAATATATCACCGCCCATGGTGGTGACCGAACAGATCCTGCCCAGCAATGGCAGCACACGCAGCAGTGCCAGCAGTGCTCGGGGGCAGCAGGTGCTGCTGCTCCCGGAGGAGCAGGTGGAGTCATGCCAGGACCCTCATCGGGCAGCAGCTCATGGAAATCAAGGCTGCGCCAATTCTCCGACTATTTTAGCTTCAGCTTTGACAAAGGCAACAAGCGCTTTGGCAGCACACGAAGTAGTCCCTGCTCCAGCTCCGGTCGGGCCAATAATAATGCCAACGGTTTGGCCGATGTTGTGGGCCAGGATCAAGGTAAATCCGGTGTGGTTATGTGCTGCAATGTGGTGCATGGTTCACCGGCAAAGCCAGGTGGAGCTGCAGGTGCTGGAGCAATGGAGATCTTGACTACCCAGGGAGGTGGAGTAGGAGTTGGAATTGGAGTTGGAGTTGGAGGAGGTGATTCCCATCAGCGTCATCGTGCCTATAGCCTGGATGTGCCCGGCATGATGCGTTATTCCTCCAGCGATAGCAGTCGCCATCCCAGTAGCAATACCCTACAGAGTGGTGCTGGAATCACTGCCGGGGATGCCCCTGCGATTCCCTTAGTGCCGCCCAGCTTGAGCGTGGAAATGGGTTTGGCCAGTGGATCCTCTTCGGAGGCGGGACCAAAGATTTGACACAAGGGGAGCGCCAGAGATTTGGATGAGCAGGTTCATAATCACAATGACGACGATGAGGATGACGAAGAAGACGATGAAATGGGCGTGGAGGATCGAGAGGATCGAGAGGAGCGACGACAGCTGCAACAGCCGGCGGATGCCACATCCAGCTGTGAGGTGTCCTCCATGTCGATGACCGTTTGGTCGGCCATCGGTCAGCGTCTCAATGCCCTTGTCTGCCATTGCTGTGAGCGTAAGCTTCCCGAGCCGGAGAATGTCTAAAGGAAAGACTTGGAAAATCTATGGAAAATCTATGGAAAATCTATGGCAAACCTATGGAAAATCTATGGCAAACCTATGGGAAAATCTATGGAAAATCTATGGGAAAATCCTAGAAGAAATCATGCAAAACCTGCTTCTTCCTGTAGTGAAGTAAAAACAACTGTTGACAAAGACCTAAAAATAAATGTAGTAAACAACTAAACAAAGCTATAAAAAGCTGTAAAAATCCCTAAAAAAAAAACGTCGTAAAAAGCCGTTAAAAATGTCGTAAAAATCAGCTAAAATCCATTTAAAAAAACGTAATTTTAGCAGCTGGGCCATCAGCAAAACAAACACACACAGACTTGGTCTAAGGTTTAGCTCGTAACACTTTTAACACTATTAGTTTTAAGTTCCCCTTGATTTACTCGTGTTTTTTTTTGTTTTTTTTCTATTTCTGTTTTTTCTTACCATTATCATATATATATATTTTTTTTTACGCAAAGAGGTCAAATTTTAGTCAACGCCACTGGCAAGTTAATAGCTTTCTGAGTATTACGCATCAATGGCGGTGGGATCAACAGTAAGGTACAGTAAGGTACAGTAAGGTACTGTAAGGTACAGTTCACCAAAAAAAATTCTGTTTTGGAATTATTTAGATCTTTGCCTTGAACCGAAAGACCCATGTCGTCTTGCCCTACACTTGCTTGTGTTTGATCTTAATTAAAAAACCGATTGTTAGTTCACAATTCCTTATTTGAACTCTATTTTTATTTGTCCTGTCAGATCAAATAAGATCCACTAAATTCTTGGAATAAAACGCTCCATTATATCGGGAAATGCTAGATATAATTGCTAGTTGCTAGATATTGCCGTTTAAAAAGCGGAAATGACCGAAATAATGGTTCAGCAAATCGCAGAAATCTGCTACGTTTATCCTTGCAACATTTATCCTTGTTAAATAACAAATACCTGAGACGTTAGTTCGCCGAAATTTGTGATATGCCATGCGTTTTTTTAATTGATGCATTAATGAACTCACATTTCATCTCTCTGGGTCCGTACGATAAGAATATCGCTACTTATGTAGTCAGGGCGAGAATTAGCGTCCCGGATTGAGCACTAGTAAAAAAAAAGCCTCTAATTTAGAAAATATATCACTAACATTGCCAGCATGTTTGTCTTCATCGCCGACGTCATCTTTAGATTTAGGTTTTGATTCCGTTAGCTCTTTTGATTCTTATTAATATTATTATTATTATTATTACTATTATTATTATTATTATTATTTTGTATTTTTGCCTGTTTACCACCTAAGTATTTTTATTTATGAACACACAACACAAGAAATATAAGCATATATATATATTATAAATAATTGGTTATTATTTCTCTATTATTTGTAAAGGAATTAAGGGAATGGGCATAATATATATATTTTTAGAGAATTTCATAAAATTTCGGAAACTTTTAATTAAAAGCAAATCAGAAAGCTGTCAAGATTTCCCCAGAAAAACCTACAAAACCATTAACCAAATGCTACTGAGAACAATTTACCTACACAAAGTGGGTTTTCTCAGTAAAATAATTAAAGCGCCTAGACCAACACTTTGTTCCTGATCCTTTTCTATGAAATATATTCTGGGGATTTCCGAGTACGAGGTTTTAAAATAAATGGCAAACAGAGATGCATTTAGTGGTTTCCAGCGTGGGTTGAATGTCAGTATGTCAGATTAATACCAAAAAGAATACAGTGAAAAAAAATATTGCAAATTTTAAATAATAAAAAAATATTCCACTTGGGTTCCTTAATCTATTAAAAGGTGACTATGAGTATGATATCATTTTATTATATCAGAAAAAAATAGATGTAACCAGATATGGTATCTAAAAATTATATTCCATTGTTTTAGACTTATTTCGGTGAGTTTTAAAAAGTATTTAGACTATTTTCATGTTTAAACCTTTTTCCGGGTATTATAATTTTAGTCAGAAGCTTGACAAGCAATAAAGGAGCCATTTCCGACCCTATAAATCATATATATTCTTGATCAGCATTAACAGGAAAATCGTTCTAGCTATCTCCTGAAGAAAATTAAATTTTGAATTTTTTTCAAAATTTTATAAGGGGTTACATCGTCAAAATTTTCAACAATTTACATAAATTTGACATTTTTTATGGAGTATGCAGATTTATTAACCTAAAAAAAAACTAACATGGGAACGCTCTCCGAATTAAAATGTACCCTTTTTTCTTAGTTATGAGTTTTAAAAAATTAGATTTTTCGAAAATATTGTCAGTTAAGAAATTGGTATGATTTATTTTCAATTAAGTCCTATTATTCAATTGCAAACTTCAAGGGTATATAGTTTTCGGTTCAGTGCTGATTTTTTGGGAAATTCCGGTCTAATTACGCAAACTAAATTTTCGATTTCGATTTTGGACATGGAGTGGCATGCAACAGCAGGACGCAGGACCCACGTCCCACAAGGACACTAATTCCATTTGCTTGTTCATCGCTCTTGATCTCTCCCTCTCTCTCTCTCTCTTACTCACTCTGTCCCACTCTGTCGTTGGCCTTCGTGAATATGCTCCTAAATTTTCCCGCACATTTTTCCACGGCATGCCCGCAGGAGAGCGATGTCCATGGTGAAGTCAATTGGATTTTCTAGGAGCCAAAAATGTGTTGCCGATGAGGATGATGGTGGCGATGGGAGAACTCAATTAAAAGACACTAGGGGACTCTACTCGCTGAAGCCCAGCTGCTAGATGGGTACACAAAAATGGATAAATCCTACAGGGGAAAGAAATTTGAAATTGATTTGTAAAGTGGAAAAGAAAGGACGGGCACATATCTGCGACAAATTATGAAGAAATCCAAGTTAATTAATGATCTATGTAAATTTCTGTATGTAATTAATTACTCATAAAAAACAAATAAAACGAAACGGGCGAGGACACGAAGCTTTGATTCAAAAAAGAAAATACGAAATAAATGAATAAATAAATTAAGAAATTTGAATTGTAAGAATGGAAGCTAGCTAGCACCGAGTAGCGAGTAACGAGAAGCAGGCTGAAGCGGAAGCGGAAGCTAAAAGCAAGCAGCGAGTAGCGAGAATGAAATAAGACCCAAGCTGGTCCTTGGCTTTAGCAAACAGATTCCAAATAACAAAAACTTAATATATTTATAGCGAGAGATGATGTATGTATGTTGTTTTTTTTTATGAGTGTGTTGAGAAGAAACATTTATTCAGTGTACATTTGAATGTCTAGCTAATTTGCAGAAAAATACTCGTAACTCGTAACTTGTAACTTAATTGTGCATTGTAATTGCGAAAGAAAAAAAAACATATACATATTTCCTCTACAAGTACCACATACATATACTATAAATATATAAATATATATGTATAAATATAAAGCGTATAAAGCTTAACTAAGTGGTTCTGTGTGTCGTCGCCTCCCCCTCACTCGATGTGTGTATTTGTTGTAGTTAGATTTGAGAACTAGCTCTGGCTAATAAGTAAGTTTATCGAACAGTCTTTGCAAAGAAATCCAAGGAAAAACCCAAAAGGAAACCAAGAAAAACTAGGTTAAAAAAAACCAAGTTTAAAGAACAACCCCCTGAATTCCTAGATGTATGTATTTATGTATCTGTATCTGAACCTAAAATAAAAACGAACCACTCGAAATTAGCTAACACATCAAATTGATTTGTTGCCTTACAAAAAAATAAAAACAAAAACCAAAAACTACTACAACTAAACTAAAACTACTATGTACTATAGCTGTGTGGGTCCTTGCCCTGTTGTTCACAGCGTTTTATATATATATATATCTATATATATATATTATATTATATTGTTCATGCCACCAACTTCCCTTGTTTGAATGACAAAACATAAAGACTAAAACTTGAATTTAAACAAAAATCAACAAAACAAAAAAGAAAAAGGAAAACCAAGACAAAACAAAAACAAAAAACCAAAGAAAATATAAAAAAAAAGTTGAGTAAAAAAACCACTATACATATATACATTAAAATATATATATATATACATAAATAAATATTTATCTTAAAGATACTACAACTACAAACCGAACAAAAACAATGGAAAAAATCGTAAAAAAAACTCTAGGTGTTTTACAAAAATGTATAAAAAACTAAAACAAATAATAAAACAAACAAATAAGAAGACAACTAACTAAGCCCAAGAACGAAATGTAAAACAATTTTAAGAATAACTAAACTAGTTTAGTGCAAAAGGTAAAATGAATGTGGAATTTGGCAGGCCGAATGTAGTAATGTCCTTGCACTGGTGACTATTCCCTTTTAGCTCAACAAATATATATTTCACTTTAAAGAGTTAAAAAAAATATATGTAATAAAATATATTGGCAAATTTTCAAGGGTTACCAGTATATCTAAAATATATATTCAGTGGATATTAGAAAAGAGACAATAGGTGAATATTTATACATGTAAAAAAAATACTTTCCCCACAAAAAGAAGTCCGTTTCAAATAAATCCCCAACAAAAATATAAGCCAATTAAAAATCACATTACAAAGGTAGTTTTTAAATCAAGATATCGATAATGATCGATAATGCATCGATTGCACTTATCGAATCCCTTGCAGGGACATTCAAACTAAACATTTTTTTCGGCAAAAAGGCAAAAAAAGAAAAACAAAATGAAATACACGTAAATATATTTAGCGTACGTTTTTGGCAGTCAATTAAATGCTTCCCCCCACCCCCTTCCCGATAGTTGATTAAAGCTATGATGACGATAAACAGAAATGGTAGTCGATAAAATCGAATCCGATTCGATTGTCAATTGATACAAAGTTCCAAAAAGGCAAATGCTTGTTTGTACCTAAAAATCAAATATGTATGTAGCAATTTTGGACCAACTTGACATTTAATCAGAACCAAACCCTGTCCCCCTGCCCCCATTCTCCTGTTTCGTTCTATGTGCAACACGATAACGATAACGATAACAATTACAATTCAATATATGTACAAACACAGAGACACATAACAGGACACACGGACACACACAAGATGGTCTTAGTATATGCAAAAGAGAAACGAAAAAAAAAGAAGTTACTTCAACAATCTCGTAGGTCTAAACCACAACTACCTGTCGACTATAACCGATCTTGATCCAGATCGAGATAACCTATGTAATAGCGGAAAAGCGGAATCGAAGAACAAAAGTGGATAAAAAATGGGGAAAATGGGAAAATGGAAAAATGGAAAACTGGATAATGGCACCGCAGGCATATGCTTACTTTATACTTTTCTATGTGACTTACAACTCGGGCTAGCAGATGACGATGACTAAAAGAAAAACTAATGAAAAACTTCCAAAACGGTTTCCACACACCAACACTTGCCTATCTATCTATCTATCTCTCTCTATCGATCTATCTATCTATCTCTTTCACAAACACACACACAAGCCAAGGGGAAAATCTATAATTTATATTAATTGCAGTGACTTTCTGATTGAAATTGATTGATTTATTTTAAAAAGAAATGGAATAAATTATTTGATTAAAATTACACTTGAAAAAAATAATAAAAATACGAATTAATATCCAGGCCAGGCAAGACAAAGGCATCCAACCACCGATAATGGACCACTTCCCCGCTAGAATCCGTCACCGATATCGAACCTAAACTGCTTGATCCTTGGATATAGGACGATTATTCTATATAAACAAAAAAACTAAGAGTGTATAAACTAGAGACCCTCCTGAGCCTTTACTTCAAGAAGAAAATTAAAAAAAAAAACACACACAACAAATTACCAAACAAAGACTACAATTTTAATATACAAAATAAAAGTGAAACCATTTTAAAACAAGGCTTAGATAGCCCATAGTAGAGGTCCTTGAATGGCATTCTTCGGCAGGCCGAAGCTAAGATGCTCTTTCAAAGCCCCAAAAAACACAGACAGAAAAATAAAGAAACATATATATATATATAATATAGATATATATAAAGCCTGGCCGCGCTTGCTCTTCAAATATATATTTTCCTTTCAGTTCCTTCAAGGATCAAAACACAACCTTCCGACTCCGCCACACGCCTCTCTCTATATATAGTATATTTTCCAATTTTATGTCCATCAAATGAAATCAATATATATATATACCACACGCATATATATATACTATATACATATACCAAATAGAATACATATATATATATACAAAATAGTTTTAATTTGTAAGCGAAA